AAGAAATTCACAACCAATAAACCAGCTCTCAAAGTGTTCTGAGGGGCATTTTAGAAAGAGATAATGAAAATCACAATTCCAAGAACACCAATAGAAGAAAGCCACCAGGCAGGGCAAGCTATTAAACAGAGAGGCAAGACAGGGAACCAATAGCATAAAAATATGACAAGGATAACCCAAAACATATCAGTTATAACCATCAATGTAAATGGTCTCAATTCACCAATCAAAAGAATCAAACTGGAAGAATGGATCATGACATAATCCAACAATATCCTGCATACAATAAACACATTTAACTTAAAAGGAAGTTCACACAGACTAAAAGTCAAAGGATGGAAAATAATGTTCCATGTGACAGGAATCAGGAAAAAGCAGGGGTAGCTATTCTATTTGCAGACAAAGTGAACTTCAAGCCAAGATTCATCAAAAGACACAAAGAAGGTCCCTATATACTTTGTAAAGGAATATTTTGAGGAGATAATAATTATAAATATATATGCACCAAATATTGGTGCACCCAATTACATAAAACAAATATTAACAGACATGAAAAACTTAATTAGCACTAACTCAACTATAATGAGGGACCTTAATACCTCACTATGAGAAATAGACAGAATAAGACAATCAACAAAGAAATATCAGAAATGAACCAAATCTGTGAACAAATGGACTTAGTGGATGTTTAGAGTGTTCCACCCCAAAACTTCAAAATACACATTCTGCTCAGCTGCATATGGAATATTCTCCAAAACAGGCCACATACTAGCCCACAGAACATACTTAGTAAATGCAAAGGAATTGAAATTATCTAACCATGCATATTATCTAACCATAGTGCAAAGAAACTGATCAACGGCAAAATAAACAACAAAAAAATGCATAAACACATGAAAATTAAATAACACTTTGCTGAAAAACCAATGGGTCACAGATGAAATTAAAGGAGAAATTAAACAGTATCTACAATTAAGTGATAATATGGACACAACATACCACAACTAATGTGACACAATGAAAGCAGTACTAAGAGGAAAATTTATAACAGTGAACTCTTGTACCACGAAAACAGAATGAGCTCAAATAAATAACCTCGTTACACCTTAAACTTCTCAAGGAAGAAGAACAAGTCATGTCCAAAGCACCTATGAGGGAAGAAATTATAAGGATCAGAGCCTAAATTAATGCAATTGAGACTAAGAAAACAATACAAAGAATCAATGAATTGAAGAGTTGGTTCTTTGAAAGATTAAATAAAATCTATAAACTCTTAGCTAACCTTATGAAAAAAAGGAAAGAAAACACTCAAATTCATGTAATTAGGAATGAAAAGGGTGAAATCACAACAGATCTTGTGGAAATCCAGAAGACTATCAACACTACTTTGAGAACCTATACTTTAATAAGATGGACAATATAAAAGAAATGGACAGACTCCTAGATTCATATGAAATACCAAAGTGAAACAAGAAGATATTAAAATTTTAAGTAACCCAGTATCTGTCATTGGAATTGAAAATATAATTAGAAACTTAGCAACAAAGAAAAGACCAGGTCTTGACTGTTTTATTGTTGAAATCTATAGAGAAGATCTAATGCCGCTACTTCTCAAACTCTTTAATGAAATAGAAAGAGAAGCAATACTCCCCAAATAATTTCTGGAAGAAGTATTACCCTGATACCAAAACCAGAAAGGGCCCAAACAGAAAAGAGAACTACAGTCCAATCTCTCTAATGAACATAGACTCAAATATCTTCAATATGATACTGGCAAACAGAATGCAGCAAATCAGCAAGAGGATTATATACTATGATCAAGTACGATTCATCCCAGGGCAGGGATGGTTCAACACACATGAATAGATAAATGTAATACACCATTATCAACAAAGCCAAAGACAAAAAAATGACACAAATACCCGAAGAGACACAGAAAAAGCGTTTGACAAAGTCCAACACCCATTCATGACAAAAACTATACAAAAAATTGGACTAGTTGGTCTTTACCTCAATCTGAGAAAAGCCATCCAAAACTAATAGCCAACATCATACTAAATGGACAAAAACTGAAAGCTTTTTCTCTAAAATCAGGAACAAGACAAAGATGTCCATTATCACCTTCTTCAACATAGTTCTGGTAACATTAGCCAGAGCAATTAGACAAGAGAAAGAAATAAAAGGAAAAAAGAAAAGGAAGAAGTTAAATTATTATTTGAAGACGACATGATTCTCTACATAGAAGACACCAAAAACTTCAACAAAAGACCTCTTTCTAGATTTAATAACCAAATTGAGTAATGTAGCTGGATACAAAGTCAATACTAAAAAATCAATAGGCTTCCTGTATACAAATAACAAATTTAATGAGAAAATGGGAAACACCTTTCATGTATAGGATCCAAAAAATGAAATACCTAGGAATCAATCTGATGAAGGAAGTAAAAGACTTCTACATTGAAAACTACAGTACTTTGAAAGAGGAGATAAAAGAGGATAACAAAAAATAAATAAATAAATAAAAATGGAAAGATATCCCTTGCTCTTAGGAAGGAACAGTACAGAGAAAATGGCCATACTTCCAAAAAGTATTATACAGATTTAAGCAATTCCAATAAAAATTCCAACAGCATATCTAACAGAATTAGAAAAAAGAATCCTAAAATTCATTTGGAACCAGAAGAGATGTAGAATCACAAAAGCAATTCTGGGCAAGGCAGGGGGCACCACAATCCGTAACTTGAAATTATACTACAGAGCTAATGTGATTAAAACAGCATGGTACTGGCAAAAAAAAAAACAAACAGATCTAAGGAGCAATGAAAAAAATCACAAGATTCAAAAACAACCCCAACACACGTAGCCACCTTATCTTTGAAAGGGGGCCAAATATATTCAGTGGAAAAAAAGATAGCATCATTAATAAATGGTGCTGAAAAAAACTGACTTTCTACATACTGAAGACTAAAACTAGACCCACAGCTCTCACCATGCCCTAAACTAAAATAAAAATAGATCAAAGATCTAAATATAAGAACAGAAACACTAAATTCGCTGGAAGAGAGAATAGGTAGAACACTTGATGACATAGGTGTATGCAAAGACTGTGAACAAAACCCTGATCACGGGAGAAATACTACAAAGAATCAACAACTGGTACCTCATCTTATTAAAAACCTTTTGTAGAGCCAGGGAGTTAGCTCAGTAGTTCTGCTACCTGCCTCGCAAGTGCAAGGACCTGAGTTCAATCCCTGGTGCAGAAAAAAAAAAAAATTGGTACCTTTGGTACCACAGAAGAAACCACCAACAGAGTGAAGAGACAATGCACAGAGTGGGAAAAAATTGTAGCCAGTTGTGCCTCAAAGGACTAATATCTAGAACATATAAAGACTTGAAAGAAATCAGACTCCCAAATTTAAAGACCTAATCCAAAAATGAAGATACGAAATGAACAGGTATTTCTCAGATGAAGAAGTAGAAACGGGAAATAAATATATGAAAAAATGTTCAACACCACTCACTGCTCATTCTAGAGATGCAAATTAAAACAATGCTGAGATTTCATCTCACCCCAGAAAGAATGGCTGCTTGATAGCAACAACAGAAATCAACCAACAACAAATACTGGCAGGGCTGTGGGGAAAAAGGAACCCTGCTCCACTGTTGCAGGGAATGCAGACTGGTGCAACCACTATAAAAATCAGTGTGGAGGTTTCTCAAAAAACTAGGATTAGAGGTCCCATTTGACCCAGCCATTCCCCTCTGGGTATAATCCCAAAAGAATTTTTTAAAAAAAGAATTAAAAGCAGTATTATATGCGTATCCATGTTTATAGTAAAACAGTTTGTAATTGCTAAATCTTGGAAACAACCCAAATACCCATGAACTGATGAATGGATAAAAAAAGATGTGTTTCTATACAATGGAATACTACTCTGCCATAAAGAAGGCTAAACTTGAGACATTTATAGCTAAATGGATGCACCTTGAAGCTATATGCTTAAGTGAAATAAATCAGATATATATGTGTAAATATCGCATTGTCTCTGTGGTGTAAGAATCTGAAATTGTAAATAGGGACCAAAATGTACAATAGACAATGTGAAATAAGAAAAAATTATTTAAAAGAAAGGGGGAATTAGAGAGTGTGGAGGGGGAAAGGAAGGAAAATGAAAAAAATGAGAAAAGAAGGAAAAAATTGGAAATGGGGCTTTTGTAAATAGGGAAGGGAAAAGGGGGTGGAAGGGAGGGGAGGGGAAAGGGAATAAAAGAGGAATCATGATACATCATGTACAAGTACTAATTCCCTATGGTGAATGTGATCATTATGTATACCTAAATTGTAAAAAAAAATTTTTAAGTGGACAGAGATATGCTTGTAATAGAAACAAAATGAGAAAAATTCATAATACGATTAAGCTGTTTAGCATCTCAAAAATCTTCAAAGTTCACTATAGGGAACAGGTAAAATGACCATTCAGAATCTGTTTTATTTGATGGATACTTCTCCAGAGCAGATATGTAGAGCTCTGGCAGTATGGTCTGTATGTGAGGACTAAATAATCTCCCCATGTCTGTTCCCTATATTATCCCTTACCTGAAGTGCCCTTTTTCCTTTTTCCCCCTTAAAACTCTCTTTACACTCAGATACAACTACTAGAACCTTGACAACCTAAGAACCCCCGCCCCTGCAAAAGCAGAGAATATAAGACAGAAATGTGCATGTAGCTTTTGCTGTCTCATGCATTCAGATACCACCAAATATAGCATGCTCTGCATCCTAACAAAACCAGACCAATAAACACAGCATTTGAAGAAATTCTTATCTACATCAAGTATCTTAAAGCTACGTCAAGACATTTATATCTACATAATTCTGTAAAAAAAAAAAAATGAAGAAATCCTGTGAATAATATGTAAGCCCAATTCTACTTCTTCATATTTTCTTTTATTTTCATTTTAAACACAAGAGAGAAAACAGCAAGAATTTCTATAATTACCTGTTGTGTAAGACTGCTGAGTGGCCAAATCTGTTGACATCATGGTGGAGATCAGGTCTGGGAAGCACTGACCAAAGGTCACAAGCTAGAAACAAGAAAAACTCCTTTCAGAATGGACTGCCACTCATAATCAACAGGAATTGACATAGTCAGAATTCTGCAGGAAGGAGGCTGAAATACAGCCTCATAAAACACCTCTCAACTTTCTTAGTCACATGATTACTTCTCGGGCTCAAAGTGGCAGCAACAAAGCAGCAGGACATGGAAGAAAGGCAGATCATACAGCAATGCTAATTAGTAAACGCATCTAACACTCATGACAAGCTTGTCACTCACTTTATTACCTGTCCATTTTACCCACCAGAATGTATTTTTTAACTTAAGCAAATTTTATATTCTACAAAGATTATATGAATAAAATTGGTTTCACAATTATTTGCCAATCTTCTCTAGTCTTACTTGCCCAAACTTAAGTAGCTTAAGTGCAATGGAAAAATATTGATGGAAAATTAAAAACTTTTAAAAATAAAACTTAACTGAATTTTTAAAAAGTTCTTCGCTAGATCTCCCATATCTACTGATTTTCCTTTGCCCTGATCTGAGTCAGCAACTGCTCTTCTGTACCTAATGCCAGTGGGTGCTCATGCACCTCGCCACGCTCATGCCCACTGTCTAACTCTCTGAGACATGCACTGCACCCAGGTTCTTCTCCATCTGGACCTTCATTCGACCCTGACAACAACAGTCCTTACTGTCTTCTCTTAGCAGCCTTGATTCTGACTTTCTCACATGGGGAACAGAGGCCACAATTCCCCAGCTTCCTGCCTATCCACCTTGCTGCCTTCCATAAAATAGTATCACAGAATCCCTTCCTCTCATCTCAAGCAGAAAGATACCTACCCTGAATGAACAATGTATATCCTCTCTCTTTTGGGCCTTCAACATCCATCTGTGGCTTTCACTGCAACATTTAAATATACCAAGGCTATCTCATCTCTTAATGCCTTTCCCAGATCTACCTCCATCTGAGGCACTCACCTTACTCCTTTACTTTAGCTTGCATCTCTCTCAAAACACACCCTCACAATCTTTACGCTCCTGTAATCAGCAAAGTATATCTAACTCTTTATCCTCAGAGCCATGCTCACCACACTGGTTCAAACCTTCTTCAGGACTTCAGCAGCAGCCTCCTAACTACCAACAGGCCCCTTTCTAACCACTTGTCATAATGCCACTGAAGAGATCTTCCTGCAACATAAGTATGATTCTATCATCTTCTCTGGAAGATGCTTCCAAAAAACCACAAACTTCAGCAAGACATGATCAGAATGGCCTCCCTTGACTCCTGTTTACTTCTCTAGTTCCTCTTGAGGCCACTGCTACGTTGGGTGTTACAATGATGTAGTACACAAAATTAATTACTCCACCATATGCCATGGTCTCTTGCCACCCATGTCTCTTCCAGTGCCTGATAGGTCCTGCCTAACTTTACTTGGCTGATTCCCAGAATTCTGCAGGACCCCACTTAGATGGCTCCTTGTCAGGAAGGTCCTCCCTATCACCCTTCCCTCTATGACTTAAGGGTACTCAAGAGACTCTCTCATATTATTCCTTTCAACAAGAAACATCCTGAATTGCAGTTACACTGTCCATTTCTCTGCCTCCTCCATCATTAGACTAAGGGCTAGAACTTATTATATCCCCAATGTACAAGCTGAGTGGCCACCACTTAAATGTCTGTTGAAAATTAACAGCAGAGTTAGAATAATCAAAATTTTAGGGATAAAAAATGGTAGTTGTAAAGGTTGGAGAGGAAAGGGAAATGGGGAGTTATTGTTTAATGGATAGATAAGTCTCGGTTTTACATAATGAAAACAGTTATGAACATGGATGGTAGTGCCAGATGTAAATATTATGAATGTATTTAATTTCACTGAACTATACACTAAAAAATATTAAAATTGTAAGTTAAATGTATTTTCCACAATAAAGTTCTTTTAAAATGAACCTCTGATATTTATATAAGAACACTTCTTGTATGGTTACTTGTTTTGTATAAACAAACACTGCCCTCTTCTGGTCAAATATATTACCCACCCAAGAATATGTGTGAATCTGTGCTTAAATCAACAACACAATGCTGGTGGTTACAACTATTTCAAATCTACCATATAAGGCATTTGTAAAAATGGGAGAAATCATTTATCTCAGCTCAGCTCCAAAAATGGTAATATTCAAGCAATTAGCAATAGTGAATTCAAAAAGAACCTAATGTAGAAGTTATATTTTTAATAAATATGTAACCTTAGGCAAATCAATATAAAACTACCATTTGGACCTCTTCCAAATGGCAAGATCATTTTGAACTGGTGATATTTTTAGTTATTTTTTAAAGCTGCTCTCAACAAAAACTTTTCTGAAGATGAATGGCTTTGGGACACTTACCAATGTCATAAGCCATAAAATCTGAAGAGAAACACTTGGCACCATGGCTCATGGATGTGTCATTGTGTGTATTTCCTCCAAACACCAGCATGGTTCCACTCACTATCACAGCTGTGTGCAAGTAACGGAAAAATCGGCTGTCCTTAAGAATGATCCTTTTGAGTTTATTTAAAAACAATAAAACAAGGTTAGTTTTAAAAGAGTATTTATCTTGTAACACAAACATAACCATTTTATTAACTTCAGACCCAAATGTGCAAATACTTCCAGACTTTCCCTATATATGTAATTTTCTCAACAAATATGCAAGACAATCTGTAAGACTTTTGACAAACTAGATTAAGAGCTTTAAGATGTTTATACCTTAAGAAGTATCTTAGTGTCCTAATTATAATTTCTGTACCATTATTTAATAATGAGACAAAAGCTAGAAATCAAAATCTCCAACTACACTGGCTTAGTATTCCCCCACACAATGGAATATTAGGCACTAAAAATAATTATTTTTATGACAATAGGTGAAATCATGTCCATGACATGATCCCAAATGAGGAAATATTTATAATTACATTATTTCATAACTTAAATTTGCTTTACATTTGTTAAAATTAGCACACTTTCCATGGGCGTATCTATAGTTCAGAGCAAGGAAAGCTCTATCAATTAGATATAAGAACACCTTGCTTAATGATTTTATGGGATGACACCACTAACTGACTCTAAAAGGTAAGGTTAAATACTTGACATACCTTGATTAGGGGTATAGATCAGTGACAGGGTACTTGCCTAGCATGTGCAAGTCCCTTGGTTTGATCCCCAGCACCACCACCAAACAAACCAAAAAAGTAAAAAAGCAGTAACTTTTACTTAATTACAAAAATGTGTACAAACTCAGCTATATACTTTATTCTTTAGGATTCTGAAGAGATAAAATTTTATAGTAATGGTTAGTGTATTAAAACTTAAAATCAGCTCCAAACTGCCAAGCATTTTCTAATCATCCTACAACAGAATTATAAAAAATGTAAAAATATAAATACTAGCTACTTTTTACCCTGCACTTATTTCCTATTTTCTCTATATATAATTGCAAGAGATAATCTCTCTAGATTATCTACAAGGTCTGAATTCTCTATGTACAATGCCAAGGGAGAGTCTCAGGATTATCTACCAGGTCTGAAAACAAAAACATATAACACATTTTCCCACTTAATACTTTTCCAGAATTCACATCTTAAAGTGAAAAGCTCAAGAAAAACCACCTACCACATCTGGGTATCCACGTCATATCTATAGAGGTCATCAGTGAGCCTGTATTTATTTGCACTAAAAGCCTTGTAGCCACCATGAACATACAGGGCATTGGTCTTTTGATCATAAACACTGCTGTGGCCATAGCCCCCTTGTACAAGAGCACCCTGGGTGTGTAATATAGTCCAAGTGTTCTTATCTGGAAATAGAGAAACCAGTTAAAGGCAAACATTGCAATCTTTTCTCTAATACTCAAATCTAAGCAGCTTAGGGCAAGAGAAGGGATTTCAAGAGAGCCAATTCATATATATATATATTCATATATATATATATGAATATATATAAATATATGAATATGGAAATATCTGTAGTTATATATATAAATTTTTATCTTTTTATTTTAAAAGAAACCCCTTTTAAAACTTGTATCAAAGCCATGTGGCCAAACTCCAGAGATGAATATTTTATATGCTACAGGAAAAGAATGTCACTAAATTTAAGAATCCCTACAAATCAACATTTAACTCCCTATGACCTTTAGTGATCAACACACCTTCATAGACCTGCTTTCTCAAAACATCAATTATAGCTGATACTTCTAATGAACAACAGAAATAATAAATTTAAGCAAAAGGGAAATATACACACACACACACACACACACACACACAATCAAATTCCCATTAAACTACTCTCTAAAGGACTATCTAAATTTTTTTCAGAGTATTTGTTGTTTGGATTTTTATTTATTTTAACATACAGTCAAAGCATTTAGTGCCATCTCTGGCTCCTTACAAATCAACAGTAGCAAATGAATATACATAGGGAATCAATAATCTGAGTTTCACTGGTAAAACATTATTTTAAATGGGTTTCAAGAAAAAGAACTGGATTGTTAGGTTGAATCTTGTTAAACCATCCTAATAATGAGGTCAGAGGTTTTAAATTTCATTTTCAAAACACATCCACTGGAAAAAATGTACCTACCCAAGTCATACTCCTGCACACTGCTTATATAGCCATAGAGAGGGCAGTGACCAAAAATGACCAGCATGACCACTCGGCCAGTTTTCAGTGTTATGATGTGTGCTGAGTGCCCAACCACTGCATACTGCTCCTTTGCCTTTGGAGTCAACAACACCCACGACTCATTATGAATATGAAGCACTCTCAACTCATTGGTCACATTCCCTGTTGAATCAATTTTTCCTCCATACATGTAAATTTTATCCTAGGGAAAAAATGTAAATAGAAATTTTAAGAAATATTAAAAATTCAAATCTGAGAACAGAAAATGATCAGTTCAAAATCTCAATATTATTAACTGAAAAATATTAGTGAAATGTACCTTTTGGCAATTATTAGGAAAAGGATAAAGGAACAAAATAAAATAAAATAGTCTATTTTTCTAAAACTTTGCCACTTTTCTTGGACTTCCTCAAATGAGATCTTTTATAGAATAAAATGACTTGGAAAAATAAAGTTGCCCCATTCTACCACATACCTACAGAAACAAGGAAATGAAAATGATTATTCAGTTACATTACAATGTGGTTATTCTTGTCTAAACTTTGCTAATGGGCATGAAAGCTAATCTACACTCATTAATCTACATTTTTAATCATTTGCTCCATAATCATGGGTTAAAAAAACTTTTGGACTTCAGTTTCCACTGAGAGCTTAGCCAATTACTTAACTGCTCTCCCAAAGTTTTTTCCAATTAGAAACCAATGTTGACTAGCTCTTCAACATACAATACAAAATGAAACTAAGGAGGGGCTAAGTTTATTGCTTAATACAAACCTTACATAATACCTTACCTTATATAATGCTAAAGAATGACCATATCTCACAACCACATTGTTCACAGAACGGTTCAGGGGAAGCCACTCTTTAGAAAGAAGGTCATACCTATAAAACAGACAGACAATATTTTTACCCAAATGACAAATCAGAACATCTTGTACTCTTTTATTTGTGACATAATCCAGTTTGGAGATGCTCACTAAATCTACCATAGATATAGGGAGGTACCTATCACATTAGCAAACACACCTGAAACCTGGGTTCACTGGGCATATGAGAACTCAGGAAAGGGAGCTGAACTACACAACACTGGGATTTAAAAAATGAAGTTCTGACACCGCCTGAAAACCTCTTGTACACACTGTCTAAATCACCTGAACCTTGCATTACACAGTACTATCAGGATTTAAGTTACATATAGTAGATTTCTCCTCATTCAATATGAGAAACTGAAGATAGTACTGGAAACGGGCTAATAATTAAATGAAATTACTAAACTTTTTATATCTGGCTTTTTATTGTTATAGTTAAAGGCTGGCTGGCTGGCTGGCTTTTTTTCTTTCTTTATTCAGACAGGGTCTTGCTCTATAATTCAGGCTGACCTTGAACTCACTATGTAGCTCAGGCTGGCATCAAACTTGGGGTGATCCTCCTGCCTCAGACTCCCAAGTGCTGGGATTATAGGTACCCATCACCACACCCAGAGTATTTATCTGGCTTTTAAGAAAGCCAGAATACTATTACAGCATTTCAATTATACTATGACTAACTATACTTAAAGACCTTTGAAATACAAAACTGCCAAAAAGAAAATAATTTATACCCCAGCATGCAATTTACATTTATTCATGCGTCACTTAATAATCACACTCAATATCTTAAAATATTTGCTTTCTTTTGTTTTTGAGGAAAATATCACTCTAATCCTATTATAAAGATCATCTGTGCCCATTATTTATTTATTTTTTTGCCAGAATTTTGGGATTCTTTTTTTTCCCATTAAGATTATTGGTACATTTAAGGTAAACAATACAGTTACATTCATCACTAGGATCCTGTACCCTTACATGATGTATCTTGGCATATATGCCCATTATAAAGAATACAAACAATGCAAAAGATGAGTGAAAAGTTCAAAAAATGACCCCACATTCCGTCATCTAGAAATAAATTTTAATAAAGGAGTAAACATCATACCTATCAGCTAAAAATAGATGGATAAATTATTGTATATTCATGTAATTAATTATACAGAATAAAAATAAATATACTCAAGCCATAATATCAACATATATGCCAAAATAATGCTGAGTTTAAAAAGCAAACTAAAGAATATTTTTGTTAAGACTAAAATCAGAAAATTTACTAGCTCAACACATTTTTATATATGCTTAAAATATAAAGAAATGCATGTAAACAACAGATGCTAAAATCTGGATACTGATTATCTCTGGATTTTGAAAAGCATGCATAGGTCAACTGTATCAGCAATGTATTATTTCCCAACTTGAGTAGAGAATACATTGATATCCATAATTCTCTCTAAACCTTTCCTTTTGTCTTAGTTTATACAATCCCCATCTCTTTCAAGTGGCATGGAGGGTGCTCAGTCTGTATCTTAATGCACTTCGTCCCTCCTCAGTCAGCCTGTCAGCCTAAGATCTGAAGCAAATAAAACAGTGGCATCTATTAAATGTGAACAGTACATATATCTGTATTAGTTATTAGAATATTTTTGGAATGTTCCACTTTTGAGAAGTATGTGAATAATTACTTAGATTTTAGTTTTAATTTCATAATTATATAGCAACTAGTTTTAGTAAATACATTATTTTATTGTACAGACTAAAATTATTCAGTTAAGTTTTCAAATTATACACAGTTCTGGACAGAATGCACTAACTTCCTGCTTTGATAGTTGAAAGTTTAGTATTCATATTTCTAATTTCATTTACCCCCAATTTTTGTTATCTAACTTGCACACTGTGTTCATAACACTCACGTTCCATTTTGTAATTCCACTCCTCCTTAGTACTGAATCTGTATTTCAGCTGAGGCAATCTCCTCATCGTTCTCTTACCACAACTTCTTCACCTCTTCAGTTCTGAATTGGCTAGCTTTCAACTGTCAAGTGGCTTTTTTTTTAGAGTAGCACCCACATGCACACCTTTCCCTGCGTTTCCTCATGTTTAAGACATCTGCTCGCTAGCTTTACAGGTGAACGACATCTCAGCTAGCTCAATGCGTGAGGCAGGCCCTTTCTTGCAGGTACAGCCCCCTTGAATGCTACTGGTATTGAATGTTGCTAAGGCCAGATTTTTCCCCCTTTATTGGTTTGCTTTCTTGTCTAGAAGCCAGAAGATTTATCAATCAGTCTTATTCTCTCTCCCTCTCCTTCCTCTTTCTCTTTTGTTTGACTCTTTCAACTCCTTTTTTTTTTTGGTTTTTTGAGACAGTCTCACTACATAGTTCAGACTGTTTTGGAACTCACTGTGTAACCCAGGCTGGTCTCCAACTCGCAGTAGTCCTCCTGCCTCAGCCTCCCAGAGTGCTGGGATTACAGGCGTGTGCCACCACACCCAGCTCCTTGCTAATTTTTAAAGACACAATACTGTATTTTATCAAAGTAGAAATGACTTAAATCCATGCAGAAAAATATTTTTACAAAATGCATTTAATATCACTGTAATAATCTGGTAGAATTTTGGCCATGTATGGTATTTCCTGAGGATTTCCAAGGATTCCAACCACACAAAGACATTTTGTGCCTGACATACACTTTTATATATTTGCCATCTTGAGAAAGAAGGAAACGACTCAGAAAGGACAAGAACAAGTCTCCAGATGCTCCAATCCCTGTCTCTTTCAAGTGGCATGGAGGGTGCTCAATCTGTATTTTAATGCACTTTGCCCGTCCTCAGTCAGCTTGTCAGCCTAAGAACTTGTTGGAGCTGGCAGGTTCCCATAATTGAGCTAAGGTGAACTTCCAAAGATACTTACACAAAAGTGGTCAATTTTTCAGACCACAGAGAAGCAACTATAAGACAAGAACAATACTGATGAAATATAAGAAATTCCAAGGAGCAAATAAATCTACCTCCTCTGAGAAATAACAGAACATTAAACAACTACTTCCAGATCTGGACAAGCAGATAAGCATCAATTTAGAAACAGGTGTCTTCCATAGAGCTACAACTACCTCTCATAAGCCCCTGGGTGATAGCTAGCAACTCAGTGACCCCCATGCCAAGGTGCACATTTTCGACCATACTCAGTGGTCTGACAACCAATGATAGTACATAGAAACTACACAGGTCAAAGCAGAAACTCTGCAGAGACTGGACATGATCCCACCCAGTGGGAAGCACAGAACTCTCTGAGGCTTTCCCAAACAATAATGACCTTTTTCCTAAAAGCTCTCTAACTGGATCGAATGAAGTCTTCTCATTATGAAACTATAAAGTTTTCCTGAAACATTCTGTGCTATTAAAATCTATGTATGCTGTTGACTATGTTTTCTTCTTCAGAGACATCAGTTATATTTGTACTGGATAACCTCTTTTCATGCGTTTTTGCCCTTATTTCTTCCAAACATTTTATCTGTATTCATTGGAATTATCTAGTGTTAGTTATTTAATTTCATGCTAGTCTCTGTTGAATCTATTTATTTTTATTTTTAAATCTATACTCTCCCATTTCATCTCATTGTCATTATCCTCCTGTCTTTCAGCTTGTTTTTCTGAATTCAAATTCTCATTAAGTTGATCTCTAGCACAAAGCAGCTAGAAAGAATCTCTTTGAAGTTACCTTCTTGTCAGATTTTACATACTTCATTCTTTGTTCCTTTTATTTTTTCATCATAGGATATTTGCTTTAACTACAATGTCACTCCTTTCACCTTGTCAGACATAGTGCTCTACACACTTTATTTGAAAAGTACTGGTGACTTTTCCTACACAAGTTATTTAGATTGCCCCTGAGCTTTAACATGTGGGCTTGTTCCTTATTTTCTATCCATTAATCTGAAGTCTGAGGAAATGTTGGAGTCTGAATGAAGAAATATACAATCTGGGGCTGGGAATTTAGCTCAGTGGTTCCGCTGCCTGCCTCACAAGTACAAGGTCCTGAGTTCTATCCCAGTACCAAAAAATACATACATAGAATAAAATACCCAGCCACTCCTCCACTCTGAGTTTGCTTAAATGTCCTTCCTCAGAGTGCAGATTGTATTACAGCAAGGAAATAGAAGCCCTAGATTTGGGGCAGTCAGCCACCCAATCAATTTTCTCATTTTTCACTTGATCCTCCTTCACATCTATTTCTCCTACTCTTCACTGGTAAGAAAACAATGACACCCACTCAGTTTTCTTCTTTCTGGATTTGTGGCTACTGAAGAGAATTCTCAGAATCATCTCAGTGTGACTTCTGCAGGAGACATAAGGGCTCGCTCACCCTTGATGCTCCTGTGAGTCGGATTTAAAGTTCTTTGAATTAGCTAATACTCCTTTTCTTCTTTGGTTACCTGTTTCTCAATTTCTTACATTTGTGTAAACTTTTTTTTTTTTTAAACTTCTTCAGCAAAATCTCAGAGGAAGGATGCTTCAACTGCCAATCCTAACCCAGTAAGCCAAGGCCATTTATTTTGCAAGAGAACCACAGGGTGACATAAAACAGGAACTACTTTTAAGACAGAATAAAAGTTTTGGGTTGATAGGCTATGGGAGAAATATAGAATAAGAGCAACTCCTGAAATACACGTCTATGAGAGGATAAGACTATACATTTGCAACTGAAGTTCCAGAATACTTTCTTTTTTTTTTTTTTTTTTTTTTTTTTTTTTTATTTTTTTGGTACCAGGGATTGAACTCAGGTCCTTGCACTTGCAAGGCAGGCCACCGAACCACTGAGCTAAATCCCCAGCCCTAGAATACTATTTTTAAAAGGAATTGCTGTATTTACTTTTCACAGAACTTAGTATATCATCATTTGAAACTATACTAATACTTAAATGAAATATAAAGCTTTAAAAACCATGTTTCAATAAAATACAAGTAAAAAAAATGTTGCAATCAAAAACATAAAGTTGGACATAGTGGCACATGCCT